CAATAAAATCCCTTGGCTTTCTTTATTCAAGGAGATTAGTGCTTTGCAAATAACCCCAGTTCTCTCCTTATTTAATAAACCTCTCTCCACTCTCTAACCTCCTGGTTATGCTTACTGGCTTCACACTCACCAAGATGCAAACCCACTGAAATTAGTAATGGAGGAATTACTCCAATCCCCTCCTCCAGTGCCCTGTCAGGTCTCCCATTTGCTAAGACCATCAGAAGTTCAAGCACACAGAGGCCCTAGAGATGTAATATACAGTGCACAAAGCAGGGCACAGTGGGTACAGCAGAGCAAACCACGTAGATGCCAAAAGATAGTCTCAATCCAAAAGGACCTTCTGAAGAAAGACCTAGAGAAGTAAGAGAGTGAATAACTACCATGGAGAAAAGCATTCTGGACCAGAAAATTAAAGGGCAGAGGCAGATGTATTCCTGTATGCTTGAAGAACAGCAAGAAGGCCACTGAGGCTGGAGAGGAGCAAGTAAGGGAAACTAGGAGATGAGGAATAAGAGGTTCATTAGAGGGACTTTATCTTATTGGTCAAGTAAGATGATCTGGAATCTCCTGGATATTTTAAGCACAGTTAAATAATCACTGATAACTCATGAAGATCCCTGGGACAAAGGCTAGAGCAGCAAGGTTGGAATCTGACATCCAGTTAAGAGACTGTTTTAAGAGTCCATGTCAGAAGCAATGGTGGGTTGGGCCACGGTACCAACAATGAAGGTGATTTAAGTTTATTTACTGAAAAACGAGTTTTAGGAAAGGTGAACCAAAAGTTCCTTTAAGATTTTTTTTTTCTTTTTTGAGACAGGATTTTGCTCTGTAGTCCAGGCTGGCCTTAAACTCATGATCCTCCTGACTCAGACTCCAAAGTACTGGAATCACATGTATGCATCACCACACCTGGCAAGATTTGTTTGTGTAGGCAATGGAAACAATTCTAATTTCTTTAACCAAGGATTCAAAATACATATGAAATAACATATAATAAGGTTATGCATTAACACTGGTATGTAAAGTCACATATCATCTGTAAAGCTATTTAGCTAACATTAATGCACTTTTACCCACTAATCCCATTTCTAAGAATCCTACGATAACATTGTGCAAATATAAATGCACAATACAATACTACTTACAGTCAAAAAGCAGATACTACAAAAGGGTAAATTTAGGGATGTATGAAAGAATGGATTGGTAACATGGCCTTAAGGAACCCTTGCAAAAGTGTCATTGGCTAATTTTGTTTTTGCAATCAAGCATCTGGTAAAGATAAGATAATAGTCTGTGTTCCCTGAACCTTGAACTATGTGTTAGTAATACCAAATAAACTTTGACATTCATTCAATAGAAATTAGGTTTACTCATGAAAATAAAAGTAGTATATCTCACTATAAGACCAGATTATGAAAATCTTTAAGTGCCAGGATAGAGGGTTCACACTTTATCCTATAGTTGCAGGGATCTTAGGATTTTTCAACAGGAAAAAAAAAATATATGAACCAGGCACAGAAGCATGTACCTGTAAATACCAAGTACTTAGAAGGCTGAGACAGGAGAGTCACTTGAGCCTAGAAATCTGAGGCTAGCTCAAGCAACATAGTAAGGCTCCATCTCAAAAAATAATGAAACTAATGATCAAAAAAGTATTTTTATAAAATGAATCCAGCTCAAAGAATGTGAGCTGAAGAGTTCCTTCAAGTCTTCTGATTCAATTCCCTCCAAGGCAGGATGCAGAGGGAGTCCTGGGAGACTAGAAAGCAGACTATTTCTGTAATCTGGATTTGAGGTGATACAGAGCTGAACTACAAGGATAGAGATTTGAGTAAGAAGACAGGTGTCTGGTCTTAAATTAACACAACTTTGCTAACAAATGCAATCACAAGATTTGATTCCATCCACAAACATTTTGGATCTTCATCCTGAAAAGACACTGGAAAACTAAGTTCAGGCAGTTTGGAGCAGGATGTGTATCTATTGGTTTCCTTTAATAAAATACAAGGCATAAAATTATTCTGTACAAACCCTTGGCATTAGAGCAGATTTCATTAGCTTCAATACCCCAATTCCATTCATGAAATTATCTCAACCTTTTTTACTATTTACATAAAATACAATTTATTTATGCTGATCTTTCAGAAAATGATATTTATAGCGGTTTATGAGTAAACCCAATGAATTTTTTTAACTCCTTCATCAGACATTTATTGAACAGCTAAGGCCCAGTGAATTTTATTGTAGAAATACAAAATAGTTTTGTCAGATCATAGTCGAACATCTTGAGGTTTCCCATATGGTATTTACAAAAATGAGCAATCATTTGTGGTACTGAGTATTACGTGAATCTCTAAGCAAGGCTGATTTATTACCAGTCCTTCCACAGTGGGCTGTTGTGAGTGACATTTCATAGGCAACCTCAACCAAGATCTGACTCAAGGGTTTTGCTGCTGTTGTTTAAAAAAAAAAAATGTAATTTGACTGTAGTTCTGATACAGTTTTTTTGCTTTGATTCAGATTAAATGAATTAATCTTTCTATTTCATCTCACTCTGGACTTTTTCTTTTTACATCTTTTAAATGTTAGTATCTCTCCATACTTTTTCATATCTTTCTATTTCATCTCACTCTGGACTTTTTCTTTTTACATCTTTTAAATGTTAGTATCTCTCCATACTTTTTCATGGTTCTTGGTGAAAATGTTGTTTTAAAAGTCCACTGATAGTCACAGTTACATAACTCTGAATATACTAAAACTAAAGTGTATACTTTACAATGGATGAATTTTATGTTGTATGAATTAGATCTAAATGAAGTTGTTTTTGTTTTAAAAGTCTACTGAAAATGAATAGTGCTAAGTAATACAATATTGCAGCCTGGACTTAATAAAAATGACTTAGGCATTGTCCTTCCCAAAGTTACCACTGCTGATAAAAACAACTGTTTAAAAATCCTTGAGTAATATGAAAGGATTACACTGTAGACAACTGTGGCCCAAACTAAGAAAAAAAATCTCAGGTCAAGAGTCATGTCTGAATAGAAGATCATATGTCACATGCCTTAAAACAACCATTGCAATTAGTGCAACCACTATGGAAAGCAGTATGGAGGTTCATTAAAAAGCTAAAAGTAGAACTACCATATGATCCAGTGATATTGTTCCTGGGAATATATTCAAAGGAACATAAGTCAGAATACAACAGAAATACCTGCACATTGATGGTTTATTGCAGCACCGCTCACAATCACCAAGCTATGGAAACAACCCAGATGCCTTACAACTGGTGAATAGATCAAGAATATGTGGTGCATATATATAATGGAGTCTTATTCAGCCATAGGAAGAATAATAGCATGTTGTTTGAAGGTAATGGATGCAACTGGAGGACATCATGTTAAGCGAAGTAAGCCAGTTTCAGAAAGCAAAGTCCACATATTCTCTCTCAGGTGTGGGAGATAGATCCAAAAGATAAGCATATACACAAAACCAAACATAATTATACACAAACTTATATGTAGAACATGTTTGTAATTGTGCAACTACTCTATGGAATTTGGGGAAGGAGGGAAAGAAAAAGAGAATGATAGAGGGTCAAGGATACCAAAATATGTAACATCTGTGCAGATAGAGGATATAATGATATGTATTGAAAGCTGTTGATAATGGGGGTGAGAGCGAAGGAGAAAGGGAGAGTGATGGAAGGGGTTTAACTGACCAAAGTAAAGGATACATCAAGAAACCCCTCTAAACACTGACTTAGAAATTAATAACAAAAGACAGGTCTGTAAAATTGGTATGGGGGAGGGGCACTTATGGGAGGACGAGGATTAATGAAGAAGATTAAGGTGAGGGAATATGGTTAATGGATTCCACATACATATACGAAACAGAACAATGAAACCTCTTGTAACTGCTTTAAGTGGGGCATGGAGGGGATAAAGGGGACAGGAGGAAGATGGTGGGGACAATCTAACCAATGTACAATGTAAGCCTATTCAGAACTCTCCCCTGTATAACAAATATATCCTAATGAAAATAAAGGAAAAAATAAATTAATAAAAATTTTAAAAATCATTACAAAAATTTGTTTAAAAAAAAGTTTGTTGAGCTTGAGTATAGGTATGCCCAAGATACTTTGAGATGATGCAGAATATTTATGCACCATTTACTGTAATACTAACATTCTTCATATTCCCTGGGAACATATAAACTGAACCTAGGAATGCACGAAGAGAAACTAATTCACAAAAGAACCCTGATCATCATAAACTCATAGGTAACTAAATCAATTGTATTCTATTGGCACCATTTATATACACATCATGGCCAAAGTCTAAAGTAACTGTTAAAGAGTTTAAAGTCTGAGAAACATAGTTTTTTTTATTTACAAAGGAATAAACAATTTCCTCTCAATACTTGAGCTTGATTTTTAAGCTATATATCACCAACTCTTGTTAATTCATAGCTAATGCCAACTGAAGACATAAAAAGTAACTACTGAAAGGAAGATAAATAATGAGATAGACAACTTCATATATACATTTACAGAACCATAAAAGGCCAACACATGAAAACAACCAACCCATTTTTCTTATGGGTAGCAGAGCTGAGGCTCAGAGATATTAAAGGTACTATTCAAAGTAACAACTAGTAAGACAGTCTGACTCCAAAACCCAAATCTTTTGGTACCACTAAAGAGAATTCTCATGTAGCCAAAAGGAATTTATAACCCCCAAATAATAACATCAAATTATTTTTTTTATTTAAAAGAATAAAAACTTAATCTATAAGCTTAGCATCTATAGGAAGCAGAAAATGTAAAATAGCCATTTTTAAATTTCAAAATAGCTTTGTCAAATATAATTGTGAATTCAAAACCAAAAATTGTCTAAAATGTGTGGTCAAACAGAAACAACAAAGGGTCACTCTCAATGAAAAGGGGCTGTGATAAAAAGTGGAATTTGGGGGTAGTTCTTGTCTTTTTGTTCCTTTACCTTTAGCCATGTCACATTCCTTAATCATTTTGAGAAAGCTGGAAATTTCCCTATCTAGTCTCTGTTGACATGCTTGTGCTTTCTGGAAAAAAAGAAAAAGACAGAATAAAACAAACCAATACAGAATTTTTACATTACTTACGCTTTAATGTTTCTATCAAAATATTCAATTCATAAACTGATGTGCAGAACACATATTCCTTATCGAGAAAAAGATACAAATATGAGAGCATTTCCTTAGAAATTGAATGTTTAATTAACCAAGTATTGATTAATAAATATTTAATTTTAAACACATTCGATAGTTGCATTAATAATACTACGATGTTGTTATAGATTCATGAGGAGTTAGACTCCTTTATAAGGTCAGTTTAATTCATTAATTATAAAATGCATTCCTTAAGAATACACACACATTTAAAATCCAGATGGTCCTAACATTTAGAAACCACAAGATGATTTTTGTTCAGCTATGTGCACACTGTCCCCACATAGTAAGACCAAGAAGGACATTTCTGTTGTTGTTTTGGCCTCAGATTTACTAGACAGGTGCTCTTAAACCTCAGTCACACTAACAGCCCTTTCTGCTTTAGTTATTTTTCAGATTGGGTCTTGCACTTTTGCCCAGGGCTGGCCGTGAATCACAATCCTCCTACCTCTGCCTCCCACATAACTTAGATAACAGTTGTGTGCCACTATATCTGGCTTGTTCTTTGAGATAGGGCCTTGCTAACTTTTTGCCCAGAATGGCCTTAAACCAAGACCTCTTATCTCTGCCTCCCAAGTAGCTTAGATTAACAGGCATGAACTACTGCACCTGGCTAGAAAGACATTTTCTTAGTAAGTCAAAACTTATGAAAGTAAGGTAAAGTCAATTAAAGAAAGCATTCTTCCATGTAGTTTTAAAGTTTGCATAGTTAGATCCCTAAAAGCAAACCATAAATACAGAATTTCATGATGCAAACTGCATACTAGTTTAATGAGACTTGGAAGTACAGGATGAAAATCAATGTCATTCTGAAGGTAGTTTTATATAGTTGCCTTTCACAGAAGTGGAAAGAATAGCTAGAAAATTTAACTGTGAATTTATTTTGCTATGGTAATTGGAAATATTTATTCTGAGGACCCTGACCCCATAACTATTAGCATCACATTGCTATAAGTAGAGCTAGAGTACTCCCTGCTTTCTGCTCTCACCTCAAATTTGTTCACCCCAATGAAACCCACTGCAGCTCAACGTGTCACGGGCAAGCATGCTTCTCTCTCTTCTCACCTTACACATTTTTCAGTGTGTATGAAGATCAGCTTGACCACAGTAGAATTATTCACGCCACCATAGTGACAGGCAATGTTCTCTTTTATATTACTTTTTGAGACTTCTAACAATACCTAAATATAATTCAAGTTTGTTTATTTATTTATCGAAGGGGGAGGATGCCCCTACTGTGCAATTTAAAACACCACAAAGAGAACTGGAATGCTTGGTAATGTTTTCAGACACAGCCTGTGAACACAGGCAGAAGGCAGGGAACGGTCGATGTGGATACGCACACTGCAACCAAACGCATCACTCAGAACTTATTAATAGAAAACCGTCATTCTTACTGCATACATATTTAATATTTCCACTCCTGTACAAGGCAACATTGCTGTTTTCTCTTTTCCTTCTGTGGTGGAAGTTGGTTAGACACATGAAAGCAAGCATTAGCTGCATTTGCAGACTGACTCTGTAATGCACTGCAGAGCTGCTGAAGTTATAATGAAAGGTGGAGACGTCCTGCATAGCATGGTTCTCACATGCTTGGATCACATCCCTCTCCCTTGGCTTAGCTACCTCACAGGACAAAAATGACTCCCTGATCAACGGTGTGTTTGTTTTCAAAGGTACATAGCAGGTCAGCTGCAGAAGAGCCAATCTATACGTGTCTTCTGTTCAAACAATTCAGTGCCGTTCAACCGACACTACAAAGAACAGAGAGAGGTTATTAATAAAACACAACACATTCCTCAATTGCTATCTCTCCTTAGTGGTTACTGGCTATTGTTACGAAAACCTAAAAATCTACTTATAAAACTTAATGCTGGCTCATGCATGGTGGTGTATGCCTGGAATCACTGCACTCAGAAAGCAGAGGCTGAATGAGCTTGAGTTCAAGGCCAGCCTGTGCTATAGTGACACACTGCCTCAAAAAAAAAAAAGTGTGTGTGTGTGGGGACAGGGGACTAGACATGGTGGTATAGGCCTGTAATTCCAGCTACTTGGGAGGTGGACATCAGGAGGACTGCAGTTCAAGGCCAACCTGGGCAGAGTTAGCAAGGCCCTACCTTAACAAACAAGCTGGGTGTGGTGGTGTCTACCTGTAATCCCAGCTACTTGGGAGGCATAGATAGAAGGATCATCATCCGAGGTCTGCCCAGGCCAAAAGTGCAGGACTCTTTCTGAAAAATAAAGCAAAAGAGGGATGGGGATGTGTGGCTTAAGTGGTAGAAAACTTCCCTAGCCTACCCCCCAAAAAAGCTAATGCTCATGAATTCTTTTGTTTTGTTTTCTGGGCGGACGATACTGGGGATTGAACTCAGGGCTTGCTAAAAGGCAGTCTAGCACTTAAGTCACACAGCTTTGGCTATTTTTGATATGGTCTTGTTTTATACCCTGCGCCTGTCTGGCAGTGAGCCTCCTATTTATGCTTCTGCATAGCTGCAGTCACAGACACATGCCTCCAATCCCATCTTTTATTGGGTGAGATGGGATGTCAAGAACTTTTTTGCTCAGGCTGACCTCCAACCACAATCCTCCCAATCTCTGCCTCCCAAGTACACAGTATTACAGGCATAAGCCACAGGATTGGGCCTAACGCTAATAAATTCTTTTCAGAGCCCAGCATGGTATCAGCTTCTTGACTTCTATGCCATTCATGTTATGTCAGGGACTTTTTTTAAGTTTTAACTTTTATTTATTCATTCCACATAAATGGGATCCCACTATGGGCAATGTCTAATCCTGACGTCTGACAGTATTTCAACTTTGCCCAAGTGATCTGGGTAAAGTACACGGAGCAAAGATAATACGCACTAATATAGAGGGCCAGAGCCACATTGACAACACAGGTCACCTGCTCCAACTTCTGTCCACACAGACTTAGGTGCTAGTTTTACACGAGTTAAGAGGATGTTGAAGTACCTTCTCCTGACCTACAGAGCAGCTCAAAACTGTTTATCAAGGGAGTGGGCCACTAGAAAGGAGTGCAGAGGATTGGAGAGATAAACTAATTCCAGGCAATTTGCTACAGAAAAATCTACATTTGGTTAATTAAGACCAGAAGCAGATTAACCAGTGTCCAGCAATAAAAAGGAACTACTGCTACATACAACAATACTAAGGGAGTGACAGAAGACAGACACCGAAGCACACACACTGGATGACCACATTCACTTGAAATTCTAGAACAGAATACTAACAATGCCTATAGTGACACTCATCTCGGGGCATGGGTCAGCGGATGCCTGAGACAGAGGTGGAGGTCACTGTCTGCAAACAGGAGCAAGAGAACATTTTGAGGCTATAGAAATGTTCTCTGTCTGGATAGAAGAGGTGGTTACACATGGTATATCCATCTGTCAAAGTACATCAAATTGAAGAAGTAAAATGAATTAATTTTACTGTATAAAAAGTACACCTCAAAAACATTAATTTTATTTTTAAAAATAATAGATTGTAGAACCTGGTAATTTTCCTCTTTGCAGACAATAGTCAGTGCTGCAAGTAGTAGTGTCTAGTCCTCACCTCCAAGTCTTCCTAACTCTAGCTAAATCCACTTCAAGGCCAGCGTCATATAATCCATCTTATTTTTGTCTCAGTCAACCCATAGCACACTTATTCTTTTGGGCACCTGGTGATTATATTGCAATTTTCTTACTGTTTTACTCTGCAATAGATATTTACAAAAAGCAAATGACCTAGAAAGAAAAAGTAATCCTCCCCAACATCCTCTTTTAAAGCCCTGTTTTGCCCTGCTCTCAGTCCCACAGCAACAACTGCCCATTTCTCATCTTCCCAGAGATGCTCGAAGACCACACAAATGTGTGTACACCTGTTTTTTTTCCTCCTAGGTAGTCACATATCTGGTACACTAATTCATCCTTTGTTCTTTTCATTTCATGTACCTTAAATATCTCAGTATACTTGTACAAGTGCTCCAGTCTTCAGCAGTCCCATGTTGCAGCACCTGCATCTTTCTGCATATTCATTTTGGTTAGGACTCACTCAAATAAGCAAAGTTTCATATTGCTTTTTAACTTGCTTAAAATTTAGCATTATTTGCTCATTACTTCTCATAAGACACATACAGTTCAGATCTTATAGAACAAAGGTATCCTCAACAAATAAACCCATCTGCTAGTACCACCCAAAGTATCTAAGAGTCTATATACCAATGCTATCCACTAGAACTTCTGTGATGACACAAACATTCTCTGTGTGCCCAGTGTAGTAGCCACTGAGCACTAGTTAAAATGAGGAACTGAGCCTGACATGGTGGCACACACACCTACAATCCCAGAGCTCAGGAGGCTGAGACAGGAGGATCAATGGTTCAAGGGCAGACTAGGCTACAGGATTGAGCAAGATCCTGTTTCAAAAAACAAACAATAAAACTGAGAAACTGAAATTTCAGTTTAATTTTAATCTTAATTTAAATGTGAATGGTCACAAGGGCTAGTAGCAATGTACTGGAGTGCCATACTAATTTTTCTGAAATATTTTCAAGATGACATAAAGGGAATGCCATGAGGCCAATATTTCTATGACTCATTAATTTTAGAGGCCCAATCTCAAGGCAGTGATAGAAGGCTAAGAGAAAAGATTTTATGTTTTTGGAGATCCTCAATTGGGAGAATGGGAGATAAAATGAGACCAAAAATATAAAACAATGCTACTTTTTTCAGTATGGAAATTTCCCTCCCATTTCTCATAAGACTAATTACTAATCCACAGGCATGCTGAGGAAGTAAGATCAGTTTGCAGTTAATTCAGATGACTGTAGAGTACATCAGTCCTAGAGTACCCAATTTTCCTTTAGAATGTCTGTATACACCAAGACTAAATCTGTTCCACAATTAGTCCCTTACTTTCCTTCTGAATCCAAGGATCAAGGGCATCCTGGAGCTAGTCTACCACAAGCATACTTCAAAGCTCATTTCAGATTTCACATATTTTGAACAAGTTTCCAGATGTTGGCATAGAATCAGATCTCTCAGAGTTAACATTCAAACTCTGTGGGACAGAGATATAGCTATAGCCTATAAAACCTCAAAGTGCTTAACACTGGCTAAAACCCTGACTTCAAGTGCCATATATACTGTAAGGCAAAAACTTCATATAAATAAAATAATCAAATAAGGAATAAAATACTAGGTATAGGTGGGTTTGATAGCCTAACTGAACATTTGAAAACTATGCTAAAGAAATCTGTCTTTAAGAAAGCTTTTGGGGGCTGGTGATATGGCTTTAGAGTACTTGCCTATCATGTCTGAGAGACTGGGTTCCATCTCAAGCATTTAAAAAAAAAAAGGTTTTTTTTGTACACAAGTTAGCATGTTTTTATTTTACTTGTAGTTTACATTTTTTAAAAAGTCTTAAAATTAACATAATCCTGGAAAAGATTATTGGTGTTCTTTGTAAATCCTCCCAGGTTTTATCACTCACCTCATACTGAAAGAAGATAAATATGGAAGGATTTCTTTTCTAAATTTTAAAGTATTTAGCACAGTTTTATGTTTTACTTGTTTAACATGATTTTGGCCGTATTATTTAAATTTTCCCTATTTTCACAGTTTTAATGTTTTTATTCTAAACTCTCTAGTAGATGTTAGTTTTGCAAAGTTCTCTGGTCTCAGAATTATTTTTATGGCTCTCACATCACACAATAGGCTGATAAAAACACTGGGAAGGCAACTGTCAACAAATTCTGGAGAATATCTTCAACAAAACATGGAAGAGCTCAGATTCTCTGTTCTGTCAGAAATTAACATTATGATTTTAAAAAGTCAAAACCCCTTATATATTTAAGATATAAATAAAGTATGAAATAAAACTGAGGCATTAGCAAACTTAACTTCATTAGGGTTGCTCATTTTGAAACATTCAAATCCCACAAATAATCCGGTTAGTTTATATATATGATTAAATATAGTAGTATTATTCATATACCCTGATGTAATTATTCAGACTGAAATTCATCATCCTTTTGTAGTTCTAATTCTTCTAAACTCAATTTCCATTCTTTGATAAATAAAGTCATTTAAAAGGGACAGCCAGAAAACAATACTCACTCCTGCCTAAAAATACCTATTTTGTGTCAATTATGGATGAGGCATTGATGTCACTTCAGATGAGGGTGTCTCCATTCATTACTAACGCTTTACCCTTACCTCTAAGCAATGAAGTTACAGGTTACAAGAGGTTTTACATGAAACCACTGACCAGGAAATATGTCACCATGGTTGCATTATTTAAACTCTGAAATATGCAGTGAAGTCATAAAAGACAGCAAGTCAATGCTCCCCCTACTGGAGGAGGATTTCAAATAGAATGATGACTTAATTACAGTAATGTAAAAAGCTTAACATAAAATATATACACAGGCACAGATTCATATCCTCAGAGCAAAGCTACAGAGACATTTTACAGTATTACCATGAGAAGGACATTATAAATACCAACAGAATATGACTGGACAAAGAACAACACCATTTTCATTATCAGAAACCATAATTTCAGGGCTGGAGGTGTGGCTCAAGTGGTCGAGCACTCGACTAGCAAATCCAAGGCCCTGAGTTCAAACCCTAGTGATGCCAAAAAAAAAAATCATAATTTCAAAACTTGACCTCTTAATAGCAAACAACTCTTGATTAAAATGTCCAAGACAGAGTTAGCTATAAAGGTCATATCATGTTTTATTTACCTCTAAGGATTCCTTCAAGTCTACAGCAGAAACTGTATCTTCTTCTTCCTCATCTGTCAACTGGTCCTGGGAACAGTAGTGAGTACTATAAGCAGAATGTTCTTCAATGGCTTCCAGCCAATTCTGAAATAATCCAAAGGTTTAAATAAAAATGAAAAACATTTTTATTCCAAAGAGGTAACACGATGACAATTTGCAAAGCGCAAGATTTACATGGAGGAAAGAAATATAAGAGTCTAAAAAAAACCAAGCAACCACAGTGAAGTGATGCATGTTTCTAGTCTGTGACATATCTGAAAAAAAACTTAACCCAATACTTTTTAAAATATCATCTATAAGCATACATATTAATTACTACTCAAACACATTTTAAAATTTAAATAATAAAAAGTTTTCACTTAAGAGGATAGGTTCTCAACACTGTTGAATATTATATATTAATGGATAAAGGCACACAATTTTACTAGTTTATATTCGAATTGTAAGTACAAGAAACTGAGCTCATTTTAAGACAGTTAACAATTGCCCTCATCAGTGGCTGGCTCACATCTATAATCCCAGTGACTCAAGAGGTAGAGATCTAGAGGATCCCCATTCAAGGCCAGACCAGTCAAAAAGATAGTGAGGCCCTATCTCAACAAATAAGCCAGGCATGGTGGCATGTACCTGTGCTCCTAGCTGTATGGGAGGTATAGGTAGTAGGAGGATTGCAGTACAGGCCAGCCTGGGTAAAAACAAGAAATCCTATTTAAAAAATAACCTAAAGCAAAAAGAGCTGGAGGTGTGGCTCAAGTGGCAGAGCACCTGGTGCAAAGATCTGAGTTTAAACCCCAGTATTGCCCAAAAAAAAAAATCAATCATTTCATAAAAAAGAATGCTTGACCTAAAAATACATGTCTTACTTCTTCCTTACTCTCTTACAGCATAATTCAGGATCAAATCTTACAATTATATGAAATGTTAGAGTAGTCAGGACTTGGATTGCATAGGTTCTTTGCTGGGCCAAAGTTAACACTTTGGGAAATATGTATTTTATATAAAACTCCTACAGGATTTTCAAAATAAATAACTTAATTAACTAATGAAATCAAATCTAGGTCTATGAATACTGCTTTAAAGGAACATGGATTTCCCAATACATGACTATCTTGAATTTGATCAAGTGAATCTCAATTTCCTTGCGTAGTGCTTTGATCAACTAATCACAAAGAGAGGCTAAGTCTATACTGGAATTAGCAGTCTATTACCTGGACTACAGTCCAGGTTCTGTGACTTACAAACTACAAGGCCTTGTTGAGAAATCAATTCTACAGTTTCCTCACTTACAAATTAAGAGAGAATAAATAACCACTTAGTCTTTTCTCCAAACCCAAGAGGGGCCCCTCATGTTAAAAAACCAAATTGTTAACAGAAAGTGTCTACAGGTACATGTTGATAAAGATGGACCTGAACTGCTGGGCACTGGTGGTTTACACCTGCAATCCTAGCTACTTAGAAGGCAGAGATTAGGAGGATCGCAGTTTGAAGTCAGCCCATGTAAATAGTTTGTGAGACCTTATTTTCAAAAAACCCATCACAAAAAAAGGCTGGTGGAGTGGTTCAAGGCATAGGCCTTGAGTTCAAACCCTAGTACCACAAAGAAAAAAAAAAAGTGGTGGGGGGGAGAAAAAAGACGGAACTAATTCATAAGCCAAATTTTAAAAACATCATATAATCATTCCCATTAAAAACTACAATCAGCTGGTGGAGTGGCTCGAGTGGTAAGAGTGCCACTGAGGCCCTGAGTTCAAACCCCAGTGCCACAAAAAAAAAAAAAGAAGGTACAATCAACAGGATCTTAAATGTTAATATCGAACCTGTATTTTAAGCTTTTATGAAAGATAAATGAATCCATAAGGTTACCTCTCTTGACTGCTGAAGGTTATTCTTAGGAACTCTGAAGCTATGAATGGTGTCATCAAAGCATTTGATAAAGAAGAGGCAGCTATCAGCAGATTTCACCTTGGATATAAAGTCAGTAAAACAACAAATTTACTCACATAAAAGAGGACCTAAAATTACCCATACATAAAATTTAAAGTATTAACATGATGTACTACTAAATTGTATAATTTAAAACAGAGATAAAAAATCAGGAAAAAAAACTGATGCACTGGAAGTATCGAATGCACTGTAGCATATCTGTATTAAATCTGGCTTTCATATTCTTAGTTACTCAAAGAAAATACTAATAGTTCATTGGGTGTGTAGCTTTGCTTATATTCTTTCTATTAAGGATGACCTAGTATGTACTTGGGCTGTAAAATCCTTTACATATCAGAGCTCCAATTTCTTCTTGATACTGCTTTTGAATGTTTTGTTTGTACTAAATGTAGAAAATGCTTCACCTGAGTTATAAAAGAATAAATAGTAGATAAGGTTGATGAAGGAAGGAGAAGGGGATAAGCAGAAGTAATTATTTTTTTTTAAATAAAAGTTTGGAAAGGGAGAAAATTTCAAAGTGGAAAAGAGTAGGCTTTTGCTTCAAGACCCTACTAGAGGTAACCCATTGCAGAAAACAACTATGGAAGTCTTTGGATACAAAATAAAAGGTAATCACTTGATGGAACTGGAAAGTGAATAACTACTGACAGACTGATAAGATGCACATGCTCTCTCAGAGAAGAGGAACAAGCAACTGTGGAAATAAGTTCCCACCCCCAAGGTGTTTCACCTGGAACTAAGTACAGTCCACATAGTGAGGTGACAACAAGGGCACAGGTAGAAAACCCAGTCTTTTTTCTGTCTTTGGAAATTAATAAAGCAAATCTGGGGAGCTACAAACAGTAAAGAGAGCAAGGGAATCCCCCAAGAGAAAGACATACAGGGGATCTCCCAAACTGTCCACTCACACCTCTAACTGATCCTTTATCCACACATGCCCAGCAAAGATTGAAAGCTGCTCACACAAACAAAGCAATTTAAACTATGATGCTGCTCAAAACACAAGAGGTTAGGATCTATACCAAGCCAAGAAAATGACCTGCTAAAATAAAGGAAATAATATTTAACAAAGAAAAATAATGAAACCCAGACTGTTCAGAACCTCACTCTGATGATATTAAGAATACAATCCAAAATTACATGACATATGAGGAAGGAAGAAATCTGAGTACATTCACAAAAGAAAAATCTGTTAAAAGGCAGAATGGATAATAGGAACTAAAATACTTAAGTCTACAAGAGTCAGAAAAGAAATATAAAGATACAGATAGGTTTGAATTAAACAGATAGAAAAAGAGGGCAGGGGAGGCGGGTAGGGGGGAGAAATGACCCAAACAATAGATGCACATGTGAATAAATGAATAAAAAAAAACAAAGGCAAGAGTGGTCATATCCGACAAGATTATTTCAAAACAAAATGTACTGTGTGGAATAAAGAGAGCCACTACATAACATCAGCTAATTAGGACAGCAACAAATGTGTGTGTGATCAGTAATACAGCAAGAAACATACAATATATAAGCACAGATCTCAAACACCTCTCTGCAACTGATGCAACTAGCTAAAAAACAGAGAACACATAGAAGATCTAACTAACACTATCAACCACCATGATTGAATATTTATAGCACATGCAACAATAACAAAATACACATCATTTTCAAGTGCATGTATTAGGATTATCCATAAGTAGAGCTATCAAACAAGCCTCAATAAATCTGACAAGACAGAAGTCTTATAATTCAACCAAAGTTGAATTATAAACCAAAACCAAGATAAATAAGAAAGCCTAATTATTATGATATTAAGCACAGTTCTAAGTATTTACTGATTCAAAGAAGAGATCACAATAGAAATCAGAAAATATTTTAACTAAGTGATAATGAAAATATAACATATCAAAATTATGGATGGAAAAAATAAAACAACTACCAATAGGAAAAGTATGACTTAATAGCTTTGTAGTAGTGAAGACAGATCTCAATCAATAACCCAAGATTTGACCTTAAGAAACTATGAAAGAGAGTAAGTTAAATTCAAAGCCACAAAAGAAAAACAGTAACACTGAATGAAAACAAAAGCTAGTTCTTTGGAAAGATAAAGTTGAAAAACCACTAGGCAACTTAAGATAGAAAAAAGACAAAAATTACCAATATGAGAAATCAAAGGGGGTACAACACTACCTGTCATACAAATACAAGAAAGACTGCAAGGCAATATTATAAAGAAATCTGATAAAGAAAATGGATAAATTTCTTTTTGTGACGGTAACTGGGGTTTGAATTCAGGGCCTCATGTTTGCTAGGCAGGCACTTTACCAGTTGAATCATACCCTTTTTGCTTTATATATTTTTCAGATATAGTCTCCTGTTTTTGCCTGGACCAGCCTCTGACTGCAATCTGCCTTCCTAGGGCCTCACAGTTGGAATCATAAGCACATGCCACCACACCAAGCTTATTGATACAGGGTCTCACGAACTTTTTGCCTGGGCTGGCTTCAAACTGCCAGCCCAGATTGGATCCTTCTAAACTTTGCCTTCTTAGTAGCTGGGATTACAGATGTGTCTTCACTGGTGAATCCAATTAAGCCTTTAAGGAAGAAATAAACCCAATCCTAAATAAACTTTTCCAGGAAACTGAAAAGCAAAGAACACTTCCCAATTCATGATAGGAGGCCAGTATGACTCTGAAACAGGAGATTTGTGTAGGACCAAGAGTCTCCACTCAACCTCGCTGGGTTAGGTATTTAGCCAGAGGGAGGGTTAGAGTTTTGGGTTGTTATTTAATGGAAGTTGAAGAATGAACCTTACCAGCAATGAGAATGAGTGAAGTGGGAGAGTTTATTGAGATAGAAAAGTGTAAAATGGGAGAGTAGAGCCCCCAGAGATTGGCAGGTGGGGGGGGGACATGAAGAAAGGCAGAAACTCCTGGGGCACAGGAAGGGCCCAGGGAGACTGAGCCATGGCAGCTGTGTGTATAAAAGTTTTTATTTAGTTTTTTTGGAGCACTTTTGGGAAAGACCTTCCAAGTCCCTTGATACAGCTTTCTGATGGTAGGATTCCTATTTTTTTCCTTCTAGGGTATTGACACACTTTTTCTTCCCTTCCCCCTTAACTGTCATTATCTTTTTCTGTGTCCTGGGACTGCTTTAAGATTAGCTACTTACTTAAAGTTTAATCCACACTTAAGAGTAATTTACAGCTTAAGTATCAGCTATGTCTGGCACTGAGTTAAGAGTTTAGACAGGTGAATCTCTCTCATTTAACCAAACCTAGGAGCTGGAGAGAGCAGAGGTTAGGAATTTCAAACAGAGACACTATCAATTAGAGCAGGACTGATAGTTTACATAAGCAATCTCTCATTTAACAAGGTAATGACCCAAACCTAGGAAATTGTCCCAGGGGCCAAATAACCCCAAAGTTAAAACTTCTTTAATAAATATTCCAACCTTAAAGCCTAACCTGTCCTTCTCTCCCTTGAGGTGACTTGCCCTCATCCTGTATTCCTTTACTATTACTTTTTTATAATTCTTATGCTTTGCTTAAATTTTTCTTCTGCTAGACGCTTTTATAATTTTTATGTCTTGCTTGAATTCTCCTGCTGGATGCAGGAATCAAGATATTTATCAGAGCTATTTTTCTGGTTACTTACTTGTTGGCTTTAATTGCTCCTTCCCTAACCGCCTGAGATCAAGCTATCTCCGAACAACTCTGATTTGAAAAACAGAACAAACAAACAAAAAAAAACCACAAGAAAAGAAAATTATAAACCACTATCTTGAATGAAGATGCACGGACCTTTTAACAAAACATTAGCAAGAAATGAATCAAAAGGATAATATAACCAGGTGAGATTTATCCCAAGGATACACAACATTAGTTTAATAAGACTTTAAAGTCAGTCAGTGCAATTCACCATATTAACAGAATCAATGAAAAAAGTTGTATCACTGCACTAAGATAGTAAAGGCGTTTGACAAAAATCCAACAGCTTTTCATGATGAAAGTGCTCAGTAAACATGTATGGAAACTCTACAGCTAAACACTGGATAGTGAAAGGCTAAGTGCCTCAATACTTTGTACTTACCATGAGAATGAAAAAAGAGGATATTGGCTCTAACCAATGATATTTAAAATTATACTGTAGGACATACCAGCACACCAAAAAGGACAAGAAAAGACATACAAATTCAAAGAAATATAACAATCCTTATTTACAGACAATATCATTTTATATATATATAGGACACCCCAAAGAATATACAGAATAGCAAAATCAGTAAGTGAATTTAGCAAGGAATTAGGTAAATACTAACAAGTATACACACACACATACACACCACAAAAAATTAGAAAATAGGCTGGTAGTGTGGCTCAAGTGGTAGAGTGCCTGCCTAGCAAGTGTGAACCCTGAATTCAAATCCAATGCTGCAAAAATAATAATAATAAAATTAGAAAACAAAAAAATCTAAGTGTACTTATAATAGCTTCAAAAAATAAACACGTAAGATTAAGCTTTACAAAATACTAAAAAAGAAACAAAAAAAAACACTGTAAAGAAAATAAATGGAAAAACATAAAAAGCTTAGAGATCTTAACATTGCTAGGCTGGCAAGGTAACCCATCCCAAGTGTATTTACAGATTCAATGCAATCTCAATCAAAACAGGCATTCAGGACACTGGAAATTGACCAAATACACAAAACATTGAAAAGCATTTATTAAAAAAAAAAAAACTACTTAATCTTATTAAAAAGCATGAATGCTGGTAAGAGTTTTACTAAGGCTGCTCCATTCCATGGGGCATGCCCTAAAATTTCGTGATAACTTCATTTATAGCAAGGAATTAAAAATTTCATGCTCAATGGTGCAGTCCAAAACAATAGCAATCTCAGCAACAAGCAGTCAAGAAAACATTATAGAATGGGAGGTATGGATACTGTCTGGGGCAAGCAAAAAACTGGCAAATAAGCCAGGAATGTACAAGCTCTGGTAAATAAGTTTAAAAACTAAGGAAA